GGGGGGATGAGGGGGGGTTCCCGCTGCGGCTTTGTTCGCGGTTCGCCTCCATCCCTCGTTGCCTGGCAACTCCCGGCCGCGCGGGGGGGGAGTCGGGGGGCGGTGGCAGAACGCAGCCGTGTCCCCGCGTGTCCCCTCCACGCGCGGCTCCGCGTTGCGCTCCCCTCGGACCCTCAGCGCGGGGTCGGGACGGGAAACCGAGGCACGGTTGGGGGGGGCGTCACGGGGAACGCGGCCCAAATCCGCACTGCCCCAGTTGCAGCTCGGGGACGGGGGCAGCGCTGGCGCGGAGCTGTTATAATTAATGCGCTGTTATTTCTCCTAACGAGCCGGGAGCTGCCGCGGCTCTGCCCGCCCGATGCGCCTCCATTTGCAGCCGTGGGGTGGGGGGAGAGCTTTGGGGGGGCACAGCTCCCGGGCTCTACTCAGAGCGCCCACGGGTGGGAGGAAGGAGCGCACGGAGGCAGAGAACCCCACGAGCCCACCTCCCTGCAGCACGGGGCTCACAGCCCCTCTCCCACCGCTGCTGCCCCCAAAGCCGCCCCACGAGCACTTTGGGGGGCGTGGGTTCCCTCCTTGTGGCAACGGGCCGCGCTCCGTCCTCACCCCCACGCGCTGCCCCGGCCCGGGGGGGGGGGAATTGGAGCCCCGCGGTCCCGCACCGCCCTCATCTCCGCATCGATCCAACGCTGCTTCCCCAGCGCTCGGTGCCACCGCGGCCGCGATGCTCGGAATCGCGACCCACACCGGCACCGAGACCCACCGGGCACGGCCAAAGCAGCGCCGACGGGAACCGAGCAGCCACGGAGCCGGGCGGCAACGGAGCCGCAGCCCACGCGGGGCGCGCCGGGACTCGCCGGGCGCCGCCCCCAGCAGCACCGCGCCCGGTCGGGCCGGTTGTGCGGGCAGATGCGCGGTGCCCGTGAAGCTCCGTGCCTCCGAAGGGCCGGGCAGCAGGAAGCCCGCAGTGCACGGAGCGGGCATGGAGGCTCCGCGAGCCCAAATCTGTGCACGGCATCCCGGGTTGGGAGCCTCCAGCTGCGGCCGGGGCTGCCCGGGGTGCAGCCGTGCCGGAAAAGCAGCAGAGGCTCTGCGCGAAGCTCAGCTGCTCTTACAGCCACAGGAATAGGCTCGCTAATTTAAAAAGGGAATTGAGGATGAGAACGGAGCAGGGCTGGGGGTCGCGCTGCGGCACGGCAGACACACGGAGTCCAAATACCCAAAAGAAACAAATCAGCTTTACTGAAGGAGCCGGTTCATTCCTTAAATAAAAACAGAGACCACAATCAAGCAGCTGAGTTGAACATCCTAGAAAGGGAGAAGGGGAGGCTCAGTAGAAGGGGGAAGTAGGTGAGACCTCGCGGCCACTGACCCCGGTGCCGTCTGAGGGTCAGGGGAGGGGAGGAGGGCCGGCAGCCGGGGGGCGGTCCGGGCACGGAGGCGACGGCCCCGAGCAAAGCGGAAGCCGACGGCATCCCGCATCGCAGCCGGACGCGGCCTCCCGGTGCAGAACCGCCGGGTCCGACGCTGGGGTTCCACGGCCGCATCCCTACGTGCCGCTCCTCTCCTTCACCTTCTCACCTTTGCTGTCCTGGGGGAGCAGAAAGGAGACGGAGGCTCAGCACCGCGCAGCGCTGCGCCCGCCGCCCCCCGCCCCGCCGCCCCCCCGCTCCAGGGCCGGCTCCCGGACGAGGCCCCGCGGAGCGCGGCTCCCCGCAGGGTCGCTCGGGCGGATCTCCAGCGGCTGCGCTTCCCGGCTGGGGGAGGCGCAGGGGAGCAGCGCTGCCCGACCCGGGGCGCAGCGGCACGGCGACACACGACAAAGGGAAGCAGACACACACGTGGCACTCGGGCGCACACACAGAGAGCAGAGCTGCGCTGAGAAACCCGTCCCCGGAGCAGAGGAACGGCTCTCGGCTCCACGCAGCCTTGAAGGCTGCCGCCTGTGCCGGGTGCTGCCAGCATCCTGGCGCTGCTCTCCCACCGCAGGCACTGCCTCCTAAGCTCAGTGCTGGCCTTATTCCCTCTGAAGCTTTTTTTTTTTTTTCTACCCTGAGCAGAAAGAGAAAGCGAGAGTCAAATTCCGACTTACTTTTTACGTGGGTTAGATTTAAAGTATTTAGAAACTCAAATTAACTGGAGCCCTGCTTACCACCTGCAACGAGAAGCTGAGGTTTGGGACATGTCAACAACGAGGCAATTTTAAAACGTCCTTGGGACAACACATTTTTTTTCGGGTGGGAGAGGGAGGCCGCAGCACCACACACAGCTCAGGGGACAGCAGCAGGCAGACGGGCAGAAGGGACGGGGAAAGGGACGAGCAGAGGGGCGAGCAGAGGGGCGGTACCTCGGGAGGCGGCGGCTTGATGGTGACGGGCTGCGACGTCCTCCGCGGCGGTGAGGGTTTGGGCTGCACTTGCTGCTGGACAGGGTTGTAGTACGTGACCCCCCCGAACACCTGGGACTGCGCCTGCTGCCGGAGAGCGGCACGCTGAGCACCGAGTGCCGCCTGCCGCCGCAGCACCGGCATCGCGGGGAGCAGACGGCAGCGGATCCAGGCCGCGCCCCCAGCCCCGTGCGGCGGCTCCGATCCGAGCAGCGAAGCTCGGGAAGCCGCGGGGCTGCGGGGCTCCGTCCTGCCGCTGCGTGTCAGCCGTGCGCCTCGCGCGCGGCCTCGGGGACGTCGGGCTGCCGCCGGGAGGGGCGGGCGCTGCTCCCCGCTCACACGGAGCCGGGCCAGGAACGGGAAAAGCCAGCCCTGCAAGCACTGCTCACAGCCAGGGCTGCCCGGGCAGCGCTGAGGAACGGCAGCAGGCAGCTCCCGGTGTGCACAGAGGGCATCCAAACAGTTCTCAGGATGCCTTTGGCTGAGCAGCTCCCAGCCTCCCGTGGGACGGCGCCCAGCTCGACGGGGGAAAATGCTAGCTTCGGATCCACCAACACAGCCACGCCACACTCGAGACCCCAAACGCGAGTAAAGCAAAGCACAGAGGTGGCGGCGGTTCCTTCCGGCGCCCACCTCCGGCAGAGAAGCAAACGGCAGCAAACAGCCGCCGCCGAGGGCAGCCCTGCTGCTGCAGCCCCCTCCCAGGCTCACGGCACCCGCGGCTCCGGCAGGAAGGAAAGGCAGCACGGCTCACCTGGGTGTTGGAATAGAGGTGCGGAGGGGGCGGCGGGGGCAGCGCTCCCGGGGGGTACGGGTAGCCAGGATTCCCGAAATTCATGACTCCAGGCGGGGAGAAGTAAGTCGGGGCGAGCAGCTGCTGCGGCGGGGGCTGCCCTGGGGGCATGGAGACCGGCGGGGGGTAGAGGCCAGGGTTTGCCATCGGGGCTGCTGGCTGGTGGGGATGTAAACCTGAAAGAGCGACAAGGAGGAGCTGAGCGCCACGTCCCGGTGGGGCAGAGCGCCGTGGGGGCAGAGGGCAGCAGGCCGCGCCATCCGTGCTGCAGGCGGGAGAAGGGCAGAGGCTTCTCCTACAGCCTGCGGAGCTCAGCTCCTGCGCTGGGGAAAGGAAAGGGGAAGCTCTGAGCAGAGCACACGGCCCCCCGGCCTCGGCCCCAATCAGCTCGTCCACTTCAGGAAACGGTTCTGCAGGCGGCACGGAGAACACCCCAATCCAACAGCTCTCATTTCTGCTTTTCTCTTCTGAGCTACGAGCGGCAGGGAATGAAGACCCAGCCTGGCACGGCAGCTGGCACAGCCCCACACCATGCTGCCGGGGAAGGGCCTGGCCAGGCTGCCTGCAGCACTGTGGCCGTGCAGCCAGAGGCTGCCAAGGCAGTGAGATGATCTCAGGCTGCACTGCCTGCGAGAGCCAGGCACGGCTATTTTTCCTCCCTGAAGACTGATACGAATTCAACCCTAATGCACGAGGGAAGCAGGTCTCCTCCACGCCACAGAAAAGGACAGAGGCTGTGCAAAGCCGGCCTGGCCGCCCCGTGCTCCTCACCTGGATGAGGGAGGTGCATTTCTGGCTGCACGATCATCCCCTGGGGTGGCAGCGGGGCCGGGTTCTCACTGTGGGTGTAGATTGGTCCCTGGAATTGTACTGCAACACAGAGCAGAGCGTAAGAAAACCCCCACCACGTTTTGTTCTACTGCAGCACCGCAGATCCAAGCCACCTACAGTTACTGCACTCGAATGCAGTGCTGCAAGCTCCACTCCTACCAGAACAGCACACAGCCCACCCAGCTCCCAGATGCTGCGTGCTCCCACAGCAGAGCTTCCTATTCCCTTTACAATGCAGAACGCTCAGGGAATTTCTCCTCTCGCACTTTACATGCCGGAATAAATTCCAAACCCATCTTTGCAGAGCAGTCCTCCCTGCTGCTCTGATTTCTGGCCAGTTTTAACGTCTCACAAAAAAAGCAGCTCCTTTGGAGCCCCTGCCTGGGGCAGGAGAGCAACGCTGCACACCGAGATCAGCCCAGGGCGGCTCAGAGCAGCAGAGACAAAGCAGCGCTGCTCCTGACAAAAGGAAGGGGAACAAAGCCCAACTTCAGCGCCTGAGCACAGGGGACAGGAGGGGGTCACTCACGTGGGTCGTAGTAGTGCCCCTCCATGATGCTGATGTGCATGGGGGGGGCCGGCTCTGGCACTGGGGGTCTCTGCCGCTGCGAGGAGTAGCGCTTGGCACGGCCGCCCTGCACCGCCTGCGGGAGACAAAGCAGCAGTCGGTGCCCAGCAGGGAGCCCCCACTGCCCCCCCGGCCTCTGTGGGTCACAGAGAACCACGGCACACAGAAAGGGGAGGGGGCTGAGGCGCCCCAGCCACGCTCTGATTATTCCAGCCCACGGTCAAAGCAACGCTCGGCTTCCCCGCTTCCATAAGCGACGTGCTTTACCATTTCCTCCATCCTGTTGAACTGAGGGGGCGGCCCAGTTCCCACGTGCAGATGGTTGGGAATACCTGAGGAAGAAGCAAACTGGTTCTCATGGGTTGCATTTGTTCTCAGCCACCTCACTGTCACCAGTGCTGGGAGCTGCGCACCACCGCCAGGAGACCCCGCGCCGCCTCCCCTGTGAGAACCTCCCAACAACTCCAGCTCTCTCACTGCCATCCCAGACATCTCAGAGCAAACCAGAAGCTGTTGTGTCACTGCACGATCATCCGCTCTGCTCAGTGCATTTTACATCTGCCTGAAAGAAATCCTCCGCTCGAAATCCAGGTTCTGGTCTCAGCCCTGCTCCTGGGTCCACACGGGACAGCGTAAGCATCACAGCCACCAGCAGCACCACGTCATCTCAGCTGTGAATCAGCTTCCAAACTCTTGCTCTGGTGGCACGTTTACAGCCTGCCCACTCTGGTCTACGATCAAGGCAAGGCTCTGCTCACACCGCTGTGTGCAGGAAGATCTGCTTCCACAGACCCAACCCTCAAGAGCTTAGGACAGCAGCAGGTCACTTTCTTCTCCTTGCTCCAGTTTTGTTTCTCTTGGGAAGGACTCTGACTCTCCCCAGTAAAAACCTTAATTCTGCAAATGGATGATTACGTCTCCACGACCTCTGGAATGGCTGCCCCACAAGAATTCGGTCCTTTGCTCAGCCTGCCTGCCCACTTCCCAGCGCAGATCGGCCTCCTGCAACCACACCGCTGGATTCGCAGCCAAGCGGCACCGCCAGCGAGCAGCTCAGAGCCTGCAGCATGCCTGTGTTGATGAAGGGAGGCCGGGTCCCTCCTGCCCCCAGCAGCAACCCAAGGAGCCCAGTTACTCATCACCCTCACCCATAACCACACATAATGCTCTTTATCCTCTGAACTCCAGCTCTGAGCCTGGCTGTGACTCACACAGCTCCGCAAGTTCCTGCTGCCTGCTCCCCGCACAGCCCTTCCCCTTCACTGACCCTTCCCCCATTCTTAACAAATAGGGTAAGGAGAAGGAGTCTGCTCTGATGCCCATCTGAGCCTTAACCCGGTTCACCTACAACAGAACGTTTAATTTCCTCATTTTTATGTTCGGTTTTGTCCCTTCCTGTTGTCCCACTGCATTTTCTCCACCTTGTGAGTCTCCACCACCCTCCACAGCTGGGACAGCATCACGCTGCTCAGCTCTGACCACCTACATGGCTGCAGACCCCAGGCAGGGGCAGCAGCACCCAAGCTGCCAGCTGGCGCACACTCACCCCGCAGCTCCCGGGGCTGTAAGAACTGAGATTGCCCCGGGCTCCAGTTCTGCTCCGTCAGATTCATCTGAATCATCTCCTGCTCAAGTCCATCCAAGCTGGATTCCACTGGCGACTCCCAGTTGCTGCTCTTTGCCGGCGGGGGGGGACGCCTCAGCTTGGACTGGTTTTGGTGTCGCGGGAGCTTCCAGGGCAGGGACGTCATCCGCCAGCTTCCCCGCGTCCCCAGCTTTGACTCTGGTCCTCCTTGCCCGGGAATAAGACTTCTTTTCTATTGGTCTGTCTGGCGGCGGCTGCACGGCGTCGGTCTGGTTTTCCAGGGCGCCCTCCTCCTTGACGGGGCTGCCGTGGACGTGCCCTGCTTCCACTTCTGGTGACTTCTCTCTCGGTGGGCTCTGCTCCGCGCGCTTCGCTCGATAGCCGCTCTCCTGTTTGCTCTGCTCACCATTTCGGGACGGGTGCTGCACGCCGGCTTCTGAAGCTCGGTATCCTGGGCGGGTTTCCTTGTAGCCCCCCACCCTCGGGTAGTTCCTGGGAGGGGGCATCCTCCCCGTTCCCGCAGAGCTCCTGCTGGTGAAGGTTCGTGGGGCAGCAGAAGTGCCCTCTGAGCCCTGGTGCCGCGGGGGTTTGTTGGGCCGCTCGTTGGACCAGTTCGGGTCTCGCTGGGGGCTCCCAAACCTGAGGGATAACAGCAGTGCGAAGGACTGGAAACAAAAGCTGGGGTGGGGGAGCCTCTGGGACACGACTTCCAGGACTGAAGAAAACCCCCCAGCCCCGCTTAGAGCCCGCTGCAGAGGGCTCAGGCTGCCCCCCACGAGGAGCAGGCCGCACTCTGCCCGCTGCTCACCTCGGTTTGCGCATCCTCCTCGGCCTGATGTCGTCAGGGTTGTGAGCGGAGCGGATGTCGTAGCCATACAGAGCAATCAGCTCCTGCCTGGTTTTGGGGGCCTGCTCGTCCTCCCGGAACTTGTCGTGCTCCCAGCGGCCTTCGTCCTTCCACAGCTTCCGCTGCCGACCCTTCGGCCTGCACACATGGGGAGGAACGGCGGCTTGTGAGGAAGCCAGGGATGGTGGCTCTTGGAGGGCAGAGCGCGGGTGGGAGGCAGCGCCTCTCCTTCCTCCTGCTCGGCAGCTGCCCACTGGAAACAGGCTCTACTCGTGTTTACTGTGCCCAGTCCCTGCTTTTACAAAACTAAAAGCCAAAACGTCCCTGCAGAACACTGCTAGCAGGCAGCTGGGCCAGAGAACAGAACAGTTCTTTGCTGATCCTTCCCAGCACGTCACAAGCGCTGCAAGCATCACCGGGGCCGGGCGGTGCCACATACCTGACCTCCTCCTCCTGCGTCTGCCCTCGGAGATCGTGCTCAAAGAAGAGCCCTTTGCGTGGGATGTAAGCCGGGTTCTTCCGATCCTCGTCATCATCCAGGTGCTTGGGAGCTTTTTTCCCGACTTTATTCTCAACAGGTTCGGTGCTCTCCTGTCAAAATCAGACAGCTCCTAACACTGCAGCAGTCCCGCTGCGAGAAGCTCCCCGCAGAGCAGGGAGCACACAGATGTCACCTACCTGCCCGTCCCCACTTTGCCTTTCACCGGTTACGGCACCTTTCGAGTCCAGTTTCTCATCCCCTTTCTCCGCTTTTGCTGCAGACTCACAGGAATCATTGCTATCCTGCTTCAGTTCCACTTTGGCACTTTCTTCCTCGCTGTAATCCTCTTCCTCTGCCTGAAAGAGCTCCGCTTTACTCACACACACACCTGGAGCAGCGGGTCTCCTGGTGATTTCCCAAAGTCCCCACACCTACAGGTCGGTTCCCATTCCGCTTTTGACAGCTCTGGCCATTTCACAGCACAGGATTTGCTCCCAAAGTCCTCCCTACCCCTCTATCTTTACAGAAAAGACAAAGATTAAACCCAAGGTCTCTCCCCAGCAGCTGCCACTGGTGACATCAGACCAAACAACCACAGCTGCCAGCACAGAGCTGGGAGCAGCTCCCCCTCACCGCCCCCGAGTGCCACGTGTGCCTCATGCAGCCCAGGAGCCCATGGGAGCTCCATGATGGGGTGACAGCCACGCTGCCGGGCTCTCGCTGTCCTTCTCTCCCACTGCAGCCCCTCATTCCCTGCAGTCCCCCAGCTGACTCACTCCAAGCTCTCTGCTCTCAGGAGTGTGACCTCGTTTCACCCTCCAGGAGCCTGCAAGCCTTGCTCAGCTTGGGATGGCCACTAAAAATAGCCCGGTGTGATTAACAAGAAGGCTGCTCTATTTTTCTCTTTCAACACAGCCTATTTGCACATCAACCGCTCCTTTTGTTTACACCGGGGAAACCCAGACATGGCATTATTTTTAGGCTCAGGAACAGAGCCATCCTGGCACCCGGTGATGCAACACCGCCTGGCTGCGGCGCCCAGGGGAGCTGCCCCCTCCTTCCTGCCCAGGGCACGGCCTCTCCAGCACTGCACAGCCCCGGCAGCTTCCATTCCATCCGCCTCAGTTTGCGGTTTTCTTTTCAAACCAATGTCCACCTCAGGATCTCCACAAAGCCTGCCTCGGAACAGACTGCTTCTCCAAATGCCTCTGATCTCAGAACGCAGGGCAGTGTGTTGCCATGGGCTGCGGCAGAGGCTGCCCCTCCAGCACAGCGCTCAGCACACAGGGGAGGTTCTCCCAGCACACGCAGTGCAGAGCTGCCTGCATGCAGGCGTCTCACTGACCCAGTGCCACACACAGACATCAGGGATGCCCCTTGGGATGCTTCCAACCCAGCGCTAAGCTTTTAATTTCAACTAATTACAACGCAGCCGCCATCCTACACCCTTCTTCCACACCCTTCTTAGCCGTTCCGCTCCCACCACGCGATGTCTGAGGACTAAAACGGACCACGTGCTTGTCCTGCATTCACCTTGTAGCAGCACAGGTGCAGCAGCACCCGCCCTGCCCTGACAGAACCGTCGGGGGAGGAGGAACTGCACCTGGAGAACCCGTTTTCCCCTCACACCAATGGCTGCAGCGCAGCACAGCTCTGTAACACGCACACAGTGCACGAGCTGCAGCCTGGAGACAGACACAGCTGCTGCAGATGAGAATGAAGGGCACAAACCAGTGTTGTGCTAAAACTACACGAGGTGAATTCACCCCACAGAGCCCTTCCACCACCAGGACACGCAGTGTGACTTACCTCCGAGTCCTCTGCGCTTTCATAATCTGACAGCACAGCTGCAGGGGAGAAAAAGGAGGCATTGTCAGGGCAGGAAGAGCAGCACAGCTCCCTGTGATCGCAGCACCGGGTCCTGGGCCATCACCAGCAAATACACCACATGGCCACGTAGTGTGGTATCACAGCAGCACGAAGAGCCCTTGAGGAGGAGCACCACCCTACGTGGGGGGACCCAGGTGGGCCTGGGGAGGGCTGACCAGCACCCCCTGCACCCCCATTTGCAGTATTATGGCTGATGCTCAGGACTGCAGCCGCAGCACTGCAGGAAGCAGCGCCTTCCCCGTTTCCCTTTGCACACACCGTGAACACACGCAGTAACTCAGCCGTTACTCACCATCGCCTTCGATGCCGTCCTCGCTTTCCTAAAGAGGAAGAAAAAAGGCGCTTTAGCAGAAGGGAGTGAAGGGCAGCATCCGGCCCAGGAGCTCAGCTCAACCGAGCCCCGCGAGCAGGGAGCCGCGAGGATCGGGCAGCGCCGGGCGCAGCGGAGCGGTGACACCGTGAGAGCCGCGCGGCACCACCGGGAGGCACGAGAGACGCGGACCGCCGCCCCCCCCGCCCCACTCACACACTCGGATTGCGGAGCGCTTTTGGCCGCCCCTCCCCCGGCGGCGCTTTCGGCCCCGCGGCCCCGCGGTCCCGCGCTCAGAGCTCCGGCGGCGCCTCGCGGAGGGCGGTGCGAAGGCCGCGGCGAAGCGGAGCCGGAGCGGGCGGGGCTGGCGGCGGAGTCGCCGCTGTCGGAGGCGGCCGAGTCCGAGTCGTCCTCGCTGTCCTGCGAGGCGCGCTGCCGCCGCCGGTCCGCCATCTTGGGGCAACCGCAGGGGCGGGCGGCGCCGCGGGGCACCGCGGGAACGGACTACGGCTCCCGGCGGCCCTCGCGCGCTGTGACGTCACGCGGCGCGCCCTCCCATCGATCCCCACGGCTATTCCCGCTCTCCGGCAGGGGGCGGGCGCGCGCCGAGGGCACGGCCTGGAGGCGGAAGTGACGTCACGCGCGAGACAGCGCAAAGGCCAGAGGTCACGGGAGGGGGAAGGAAGGCAGCGACACGCAGCCGTTGTTTTTCCGCTTTTATTGAAAAAAAAAAAAAAAAAAGGAAAAAAAAACAACCAAAAACAGAACAAACAAACAAACAAAATGTCTGCATTGAGTCAGCACCGGGGGTATTTACACAGCGACCCAGGCACACGGGGCGGGCTCCGGGCCGGGCCCAGGCCGCACGCGCACGGCAGGGTGGGGCGATTCGTTTAATTAACGTTTGTTCCCCATTTCCTGCCGCTCAGCCGCGGGGAGCGGCGAGCAGCGCCCTCCAGCACTGCGCCCGTAGGAACAGCCTGGCACAGAACGGGGCTCCTCCTGGCACAGTGTGAGGGGGGTCGGGTCGCTGCCACGCTGCCGCCCTCAGAAGGCTTAAATTAAAAAAGAACCAACGTTGTGCGTTGAGGATTTCTATTTCACACACGAGGAAAAAAAAAAAAAAAAAAAAAAGAGGAAAAAAAAAAGAAAAAAAAGTTTGTTTTCGTTTCCTTTTAAAAGTCTCCTCCCACCACGTTACAGCCACTCAACAGGAACAACACAAAGGCGGTGGCTGACGGAAGCTTCAGCCTCGGGCAGCTGCTCAGCGCTGTTTCCTGACCCAACACCAGAGCAGGGCCAGCGCCGCCGCAGCCCTTCCCCAGGGAGCACAGGCAGGGCCCGGTCCATGCCTGCCACGGACACCGAGACCCGCTGGGACCCACAGGAGGCTCCCACCCCACTGCTGCACGCAGGGCTGCCGAGGAGGGAGGAACACAAATGGGAGACAAACCCCAGCTCAAAGCACAGGCGGCGGGGACGAGTCTGAAACGTGTTGAAAAGAAAACGAGAGAACAAAACCAGGGCATGGAGGGAACAAAACCATCCCTGAACAAGAACAAAGAGGGCAAGGACTCAGCAACGTACAGAGCTCCCGGCTCCGCTGCGCTGCTACTTCCTGCAGGTCCGGTGGGGGGTCTGCTTCTTCTGCACCTCCAGCCGGCAGCGGCTGCGCTCATCCAGCCAGGGCAGCTCAAAGTTCCTGCAAGCAGAACCAGCACTCAGCACCCCACAGCACCATCCCCATCCGCGATGCCCCATCTCCAGTGCCCCTTTGTACTCACTGTGGGGTCAGTTTGGGTAAGGGGCGGCCAAAGGCAACGACAGGCAGGTAGGGGGTGATCAGCAAGCTTTCCACTGTGGGAGAGAAACGGCGTCACAGAGCTGCAGAGGGCGGGCAGCCCTCCCTGCACTGCCAGGCACTCACCATCATCCGGCTCAGGGAAAAATGAGGTAACTTCAGGCTCCGACTCCTGAATTCCTTTCCTTTTATACATTCTGAGCTGCAGTCGCTGTAAAATTCTTTGTTCCCTGATCCTTTGGATGTCCCATCTGGAAAACAGCGACCCGTAGGCAGTGAGGAGCTGCAGCTGGGTGCCAGCAGCCATGCAGGCCAGCGGGGGCTACGTTTACAGCACTGCATTTATTCCTACCTTTTCCTTCGTTTTTCATCCAACTCCAGTTTTGCATGCCGTTTGGAAAACACGCTGTCATCGAGGTTCTGCATAAAGAGAAAGGGAGATGGGTGCTCCTCCCAGCACTGATTTGTCCCCCTCACCCGCTGCAGGTGCCTTCAAACATCGGTTCTGATGGTGACAAGAAGGCTGCTGCAACCTCAGCCACACACACAGGGCCAGCCGTGACTCGCACGTACCTCCAGGATGTCTGAGGGGTTGGGGTCTCGCAGGGGCTCCACAACATGGTCCCTCCAAGATGGAACTGCAAGGGGAAAGTTCAGATGTTAACCCAGCACAGAGGCACTGCAAGCTCACTCTACGCCACCAGTCTCAAGCTCCAGGAGGCTCCAGCCAGGCTGCTCTGGGATTGGCAGCACGGGGAGGGCTGGAAGCTGCCCTGCCTCTCGCAGCAGACCTGAGGCACTGGGATGGAATGCAGAGGCCTCTTCCTCACTCACAACATTTTGCTATCCAGTGTTTGCAGGCAGCTGGCAATGCAGCAAACCTGGCAGCTCCCCGTTCCCACTGTGTGCTGGGCACCTCACAGAGCTCAGGGCTTTTCCTTCCCCAAGTCAGGCTGCACTGTGGGGCTAGGAGGAAAACACCCAGAACAGGGCCCAGCAGGAGGCAGGGATTCTGCCCAGGCGCTCTGGCGAGGAACAAACACATCACACTGCACTGCACCAACCCAGAAACACATTTCCCGACCACAGGCAGGAAGTTGCTTCACATTTTGCCCAAACAGGCACACAGGCTGTGCTGGAAACCAGGCTGGTTTGACACACGCAGAGCAGGACCCAGAGCTCCCTGCCCTGCTGCCCAGCACAGGCAGCACGAGCCAGAGAGGGCCTGGAGCGCTCGGGCAGCGCAGACAATCTGCTCCATATCTCCACTGCATCCGGGACGCTGCTCTGTGCCAGCTCTGGGGAAGGGCACAGGGCTCCCAAGGCAGGCAACGCTCCACCAGCTGCCAGCCCTGCCTGCACACCTTCTGCAGGCTCTCCATCGCTTACTTGCTACAGTCTCCTCCTTCTTTGGGGAGGGCTCTCGTAACGGCAACGGTGATGGGGGGGGCTGATGCCAGCGACACAAGTACATTTCCGTGGTGGAAAGGTAGGGCAGATCGTCAATCTCGCTGAAGAAGCCCTTTTCCTTGGGGTGGCTGCTGGGGCCCTTCAGCGGGGCGGAGGGTCTGAGCGGGGTCTCCAGCAGCGACCTGTTTTTTTCTGGAGTCTCTTGGCTCCGCAGTTCTCGTTTGCAAACAGTTTCAGACAAAGAGCCACTCGACTCCTCTTTCACCGGAGAGTGCTTCAGAGTTTTACCCTTCACCTTTGAGAACTCAGACACCAATTTCTTAACGGGCGTTTTCCTCTCTGCGCTCCCAAACGCCGGCTTCCTGCAAGAGAGAGGACTGCTGAGCTGCAGCACCCGCAGCTGCCAGCCCTGCACACCGCTGCTCCGCTGACAGCTTCAAGACTTTTCCCTCTCAGGTGCATCACCGCTGCTTTTTAAGAGCACTTGCACACACAGGAGAGGCGTGTGGGCGCCAGGCACCACAAACACACATCTCTGGGGTTTTAATCAAAAGCAGGACCGCAAACAGAACGGGCAAACACAATGAGAGCAAGCCTGGCTGGAGCAGATGCAGGAGAAAGGGAAACCCACAGCCAGCTGGGTGAGCCCCACACTTCCCCACCCGCGGCCCCGCAGCACCCTCTACCTTTTATGCCCCTTCCCATTCCTGCCGTAGGGGAAGTGCTTGGGCTGCAGGGTTTGCGAGGGCTCCAGCAGTTCCTGCGGGCATTCCAGCGGCAGTTTCTCACACGCCTCTGCTTCGGCCTTCTCATCCACCTCGAAGCCCTGGAAAATCCTGTGTTTTTCTCTCTCGGTGTCCTTCTTCACCAGCTGCACTCTTCTTTCCATGCGCTCAATGCGCGCAAGGAGCTGGAACACAGAAACAGCACGGCTCAGACGCATGCTGATGGGCGAGCAGGGGAATACCTCCAGTGAGAGCCACCCTGCAGCACCCACAGCGTGCCTGCAGAAGGGCTCAGCCATCGCAGGACACAGAGGACCACAGTCAGTGCCTTCCTATTTCCTGACCATAACAAACTGTGCCTGTCCTGGCTTTTACCTTACAACTCGGGCAATGGAGAGCTTCCAAGGCACAGGAGGAGCCCCTAGGTGGCACCCGACCCCTGGCGCTGCGCCTGCACCCCAAGGTCAGCGGGCTGTGGGACGCTGCAGGTTTTGCTACGCGCAGCGAGTGCCATCATTAACTCATGCTCGCTCTCCTGAGCTGGAGAGGGGAGGCTGAGAGCAGAGACTGCGCCCAGTCATGGCAGGGCGATGATGTCTGTGTGCTGCAGGCAACGCAGCCCCGTGATGCTAATGATGGGGAAGCCGGGCACAGCAGGTGTGCAGATGCACGACCTGAGATGCCCCAGCAGCACAAGATGGCCCCTCGCTGCCCGGCTGCTTCTCGCCCAACAGTGCTGCCCATCCCCACTGCAGCAGGGCATCGGCTCACAAACCTGGCACGTGACGAGCAGCGATGGCAGTCGCTCCAACTCTGCCGCATCCCCTCCGAGCGCTCTGAGGGCTCGAGGACGCAGCTCATAATTAGATGCGGTCTTTATTAGAAAGCTGCATTCACAGCCCTGCTGGGCGCAGAGGATCGGCAGCTCGGAGGGCTCTGCAGCGCAGGCAAACACCCCGGGACACCCTGAGATGTGTTTTGTTGCAGAGCCCCCCCCCC